ACTGCATGTAGGCAATTGTGATATATTTAACATCAACTAGAAATTAAAACATCTGCCTTTAAAAGAATGAGTTTTGTTTTAAATCCTGTTCATAGATGTCACTTTTCTTTCTACCCATAACTAAGAAGATGACCTATTTCAAATCTCATCCTTTAAAGTATTGTAATGAGTTCCTTTTCTGGAGGGAGTAAAGCAGGACACAGGATGGCTGGAAAACAACTAGTGAGGGAAGAGGAGAGGGTTCCTACTCTAACCCAGTAGCAGGAAGCTAAAGGCTTTTCCAGTACAGGAGCATGCAGCCGAAAGATGGGAGTTGTGGTCTTCAGGAGAATAACTTTGTGTGCCGGGGAGAAGGTGGCTCCTCCAGGAGACTGACCTAGAGAGGCAGCAGAGGCTGTAGCCTGGCTCCTGCTCTTGGACTGCAGATGTAGGCTGCTGCCAGCTGCTGCAGGGTGGAGGGAGAAGGGGGGAAACAAGCTGGCTGGACCCAGGCCAAGGAGCAACAAAAATCTTGTGTGCCATGGCCACATTGCCCTGCCCCGCCAACCACCCAGCCTGCAGAGCACCATAGCAACCAGGGTTAAAACTGGGTCATGAAACCTGAAAATGTTCATTCACGTGCCATTTTGACAGAAAATATGCTATTTGGGAAGCTGGAGGGAGGAGAGGAGGCTATATTTATGACAACATCGGGGCCCAAAGTGCTGTGCATGCATGAACTTTTTCTATTTTCTAAGCTACCCTGGACCTGGCCAAGACACAGTAGGACTAACTAAAGTACCTTAACATGTTTTGAACCTCTCTGCCACTCTGGTTGTGCTCAGTAAGTCCCCAGATCCTAAGTCTCTCTGGGGACTGTGGGACCAGGCAGACATCTGAGCCCAGCCCTTCCGGGCAGCACCCACAGTCCCGACCACCACTCAGCACTCCCCAAAGCTTAGCAGGAGGGGAAGTAAGTCAGTGGACAAAATACATTTAATCAAGGACTGGGACATGCTTATGCCTTGGCCTTCGCTTAGAAATCACTGTTCTTTCAGCCAAATGATACTGAGAGCATGGGACATAGCCAGCAGCTGCCACTCCAGGTATTAATCAAAATTACTCATTCCATAGTGAGCAAACACATCCATATATTAGAAAAATTTAACAAATACTACGCATGTATAAGAGCAAGGGAGAGGTGTGGAAATGTGACAGTGAAGCCTATTCCTTCAAGTGTCCAGAAAAAAAATGTTCATGGTTTTCCAGAGAAAAACTTCTATAATTTAACAAGGATTTTGGGTTAACATGCCAAGATCAAAGCATTCAAACTGAAAAGCTAAAGTTAGAGCTATATGCTCCCCACTGGGACTGATTTTTCAAAAGTGCTGAGCACATCGTTTTACTAAAAGAGGTTGTGTTTGATTAGTCCCAAACATGTATAATCCTGACACGTAAGAGCACCTCTGTGTCCTTACAACAGTGCCCTACTTCCAGTTAATCTTCCTCTTCAAGAAGGGAAAATACTATCAGGGAAGTTTTATTAGTGAGCAATGAAGGCACAAAGACTTCATCAGTGGTCCTGGGTCTACAGAGGAGTGAGACTGAATCCTAGCCTCCTTGTGTCAAAGACGTTATCCAAAGCTCCGGATCAACAAACTAAAACTTCCCTAAAAAGCACCACCTCCCCTAAGAAACCTGAGAACTCAAGATTTTTTTGTCTGGAATGAGTTAAATCGTGGCTTTAAACAGAATATCAGATTTCCAAGCTGATACGATCAACCTCCCTGTTCTGCTTCCTAGTAATCTTTAATGTGTTGACCAATTACAATCAAATTCAATAGTGGCTCGGTCACATCTTGTTTCTACAAGACTCAGGAAAATCTGAAGCCAAGAAGAGAAAAAGACCCAAACTGGTGCTCACACAAAGAAACAGACAGGAACAATTTAGTATTTCCAAAGGCAGGTAGGAATTCTCTGTGTGAGGTAGCAGCCAGCTTTTCTTTCAGCTCAAATCAGAGCCGGTCCTGTCTCTTGCCTTTTGTAGGAGGAAGCAAACATCATGTGGAAGAGCAATCCACAGAAGCCAGCAGAGCAGCTGGGATTTTCAGTCGCAGACTGGCAGCAATACCCACCACAAACCTACATGAAATTTTTGCTCTGTAGCACGGTTTACCTGGGACATTAAGTACAATTATTCCAAGATGAAGGTAAGATCAGTAAATGATTCCTATAATGAGTTTTCATGAGTTCTGTTCAATGTTTTTAAGTGTCCTATAATGTCATATATAAAAGCCATGTCTTCATAGAAAGCAACATATCATGTAAAAGCCCTAAAGCACTACAACTAGATTATAAATTAAGAATAATTTTCTGTTTATCTTGAAACTAGTTTCTCTACCTACAATGAACTGATGTGTTTTAAACAGACTACAGCACTCAGATCGACAGAAAGAGTAAACCTGATGTAAGTCACGTTTTCATTTTGCAGCTGGATTGACTTGAGTTCTGTGCAATGGATTAATGATTTAAGAAGTCGGTGACTCCTGAGCGAGCAACTACTCACACTGTCAGCAGAACTTAACCCACTAACAATTCTTAATGCAAGTATTTTTCTGATTCTAGAAAGCAAGCTATGATCCATCTGATTCCCATTGAAGATGATCAGAATGCAACTGTTAATGTCATCCCGTTTTAAAAAGTCTTTCAGCTCACTGTCATTCACAGGTTTCCACAGGAGCCTGAAGACTATTTCTCACAGCTTTTCAAGGCCAAGTATTTAAATTCTGCCATTTCCCCCCCAGTTTTTGCCAAGGTTGATTTTTGTCACCTTGGACCTGTTAGAACACAGCCTTTGTACAGCAACTTGTCATCTTAAATCTGAATAAAATCTTCAAGAATACTTTACTTAAAACGTATAACAGGAGTAAAGAACTAGCTGAAAATTCTTGAATAGGCAAAGTAATGTGTCATAAAATCACAATAAGCTTTTTTACAATGAAATTAATGGCTATAGTGCATCCCACATGCATCTACCCAGGACTCCGATAACAGGAAACACTGTGAACTTATATTCTCCTACTGCAGTGCTCTGTGCCACTGGGAAGAGTATTTCAACCCAGAACAGTGTGATGAAAACCAGGTGGGTCTAGAAAGGTACAATTTTTGTTCAAAATGTGTATTATTATCCATGACTGGGTGACACTTCTTAGGTATTACCCTCAAGTATGGATCATTAAAAAAAAATAAAGGCAAATTTCTGATGTTTTTGGATGCAGAGTTCCAAGTCCATTTAGTCCCTGGGATATTACAGAACATGTGGTCTGCACCATAAATACTTCCCATGGGAAAAAGAAATAAAAAGGAACAATACAAACACTTACATGTTTAAGGTCAAAGTAGTGAGTCATTTAAGGCAAAAAAACCCCAAATTCACAGACATTGCAGTTAATCCCGAATGAAGCACATACATCTAAAAAAAACCCGGCGAGAAGGTCAATCCTTAGAGGAAATCCCAAAATAGTGGCAAAAGAAATGTCAAATGAAGGCATAGAAACAAATTAAACTCTCCTGTTACACCAGCAGGCAATAAATATACAATTAAGACACATTGGTGTTTAAAAAGACTGTGGTCAGCTCTTTTTGTAGAGATTAATTTTTCTTCCTAATGTTTCTCTTTCACAGCTAAATAAAGAATTTCATTCAGAGTAAGGTTGTTCAAATGTAACTTTTACATTGTAAATCTTTAAAAGCCTACAGCCTCTTCATTAAATTTGTTTTCTCTCTCTGCAGAAAATGAATTATTGTTCCAAACATACACCACAACACTATTTATATTGTGTTTGGTTATTACATCTGTTTTCCTTCAGTCTGAGGAACTAATGTGAAATTTCATTCAAATAGCTTTACCTTAAAAAAGCATTCCCGAAATATAAACAGAAAGATTTCTCCCACGCAAGAGTGTATCCATATGCATCTTAGAAAGCTCTGCAGGCAAGACAATCTTCTTCTTAAGCATATCTATTCTTTTGTCACACAGTACAAATCACAAACTCCAGGAAAAAAAAATTACCTATATTTAGGAGTAAAAAGCTCATTCCTGTAATAGATCTGTTACTTATAATCCTGGATAGGAGTTTATAAAAAAAAAATAATATATATATGTATATATAGCTTAAACGTATCTCATGCAAACAGCAGCAGCGTTGTTAAATCACACAATTGTAACTGTTTGGTAACGATGGTACTGTTTCTGAAATGGAAATACACAAACCACAGAATTGCCCTGTTGTTCCCTAAGTTACAGCACTTATTTTAGAGGGCATTTGCACAGTGCTATCTTTCTCTCCCAAAGTCTGGGTTGGTTTTGGATTTGCTAACAAAAAAAAAAAAAAGGAATAGATTTATATATAAATAAAGGTCAGCAAATACTAAAAGAAGGTATATGCCTCTAGGACACGAGCAGGTCCTGACTGCAAATACTATTTTATCATCTTACCATCTTCTCAGGACTGGAGTGTATCCCAGCTCAGCAGAGCTCCCACCCACTTGTTCTTGTCTGCTGTATGTACAACATCATAGGACTTCACTATGATTATTGGAATTATTTTATTTACATATCATATACTCCATTGCCTCATGTCCTTTTAGAAACAGTTCCTGGAAACGCAGAGCTACAGTTCTTGTCACTTTATTTTTGTTTTAAAAGTGAAACAAACAAGAGAATGCCATACAGCTCAGCAAGAAGTTTAAAAAAATGTCCAGTGTCATTCACAAGTCTCTTTTTTCACATGAAGAGCTTCCTTGTCTTTTCCCCAAAGAACAGAATGATTGCCAACATTTTAGTTACACTGCCGATAAAAATAAAAGTAGTAATCAGTAAAAAATATTCCAGCAAAATAAGGATCTGTCAAGCAATCTGCAAAACCCTGCAGAAGAAAAATAAAGGAGATTCATATAGGATCTTGTCTCAGTTCAAATACTATCTGTCTTTTGCCGTGTCGCCATTTGCAAAGGCTTACCGGTACAGCTACACGGAAATAGTAGGCGCTGTCATACAATTTAGCTACAGGGAGAGTCCAAATATGCTGACGTCCCTAGATGATAAATGAGAGAGAGAGATTAGATAACTTTATTCCACATTAAATTGGAAAGAAGGGTAGGCTCTGGAAACATTTCTTTGACAGATGCAGTGCAAAGTAATTACGGTAACAAGACTTGATAGCTATAGTCAGAATATTTAAAGACAGAAAGTGCTGATTTTAAACCCTGCAAATGTGGGTTTTGCTCTGATCAGCTCTGTGCAGGAGCTGACAGACATCTGGCTCCTACTGACATGCAGCTGGCTTTGAATAACTGAGCTCCCTCTCTAGTTATCCAAGCTAATCTTACAGCAAATAGGGGTTGTTCCTAATGTGCCAGGTGGCCCAAGAGCTTCAAGGTGTAATAGTAACAAATGACAATTCTGCTGATTTGGTAGTCCTCAGAAGGCAGTTCCTGTGCATATTCTAAAGATATGGGTAACATCTTCACTCAGTATTTTAGAAACAGTTGCAGGCAAGATTTCAGACTGGTTTTGATAGTCATGTACAAATGAAATAATACATTTTCTATCTGAAATGTTTATGCTGCATTGAATAACACAAAATTGAATCCTCTCCTCTTTTTAACCTAATGATCCATGGTAACTTTTATTTCATCAGTTTCTAGTGTCTCAACTCCTTCATCTTTCACTCCTCCCTTCACTTTCTCACATATTCTCTCTGTTGGAGATGATATGTTCACATGATACAACTTACGTGAAGCAGCTGAGTCCAAATGATTGCTGTCCTGCCCTTTGCTAGGGAATAAGCCCTCCAGTACCCAGGAAAATCCTCCTGAAAAAAACTCTTCAACTAGGCAGCATTTCTATTCTGAGTCACATCAAATCTGAATGCTCACTGCTGCATTAGTTTTTTGATGTAGATTTCAGGTTGATACAGGAAATATCTTTCACCAGTTTGTGCAGTAAGCTTCAAGAGTATTTCTGCACTGTGAAACTCTCTGGGTCCAACTTAATTTCAATTCTGCTGGAAATATGGCAGACAGGTTGAAACTTGGACAATTTCAGCTTTCTGATGGCTTTGCAGCAGTTACAGAGAAGCCTGTAATTTTGCAAAAACGTCTGAAAAGTTGATCAGAAAGTCAACTTAAGGCTGGGGGTATCCCAACTGCTCTAATTTGACAAAGTACCAAAAAGGTAATCTAGAATCAGTAAAGAACATATAATGCGTGGTACCACAGATTGGAAATCAAAAGAAGACTGAAATTACTTCCAACTTCAGAAATACTATTATCCTCGCTTCTGCCTCTCCTACAGTTACAGCCGGAATAAGCATTTCCAAGCAATGTGGACATATCCAGGCCTTGGAAGTCTTATATTTCCAGAGAATTTGAAGGGAATTTAAGGCCTTCATCAATTCATTGGAGATAATCAAAAGTTTGCAAGATCCAGTCTCTAAGTATTTTTTTCACTAGGAAAAGCTAACATGGTTTAACAGCTTTTATTCCCACTGAGGCAATCCAGAGAATGACATGCAAACAACTCTTGTTTTTACAATGAAGAATATTCCCTAGAAACACTTATTGGTAAACTCCTGTTCACACAGAAATAAAAGGAAATACTACCATTGTTTTCAGTGAATTGAAAACTGGAATCCATTACCCATAAGACAATAATGGAAACAGTAGAGTAGATGAGAGTTCAGAGAACTCTGTCTCCTAAGGCCCTGGGTGATAAGTACTCCCATTTCTTAAGTATCTCTGCAGATACAAGGAGTTATAGTAGTGAGTTAGGCTGAAGCAGGTTCAAAACTCTCCTTGCAGAGTGTCACTAGAGAGATTTTTATAAAACTCAGGAGAAAACTGACTCCTACAAAAAGGCTACTTCTCCTTACAGTCATGCCAAAGCCAGCTATGACTGGCAGACTCAAAGTACCATTTGGATTTCTACTATCTTAATCAAGATCAGACTTTGGCAGCCATTCATTTTATAAAAATGATCCCCACAAGCAAGAGTATTGCTGCAAAAATCTTACCTGTGTGGTTTCTAGGAAATTCGTCCTGCTGGTTTTGCTTGAAGAATATTGGGAACAATAATTTCCAATAGTGACTTTGCAGAGAAATACAATTAATGGTTCTGTAGTGCTTCAAGAAACAAAGAAAAATAAGGATCCTTCCTATTGGTCTCAAATTAGAAGAATCATGCATATAAATACAATATACATATATGGGAGGAAATCCAAAGAATTGAACTGTAGAGGAATAAAGCAGAGGTGCTTACTTCACCAGATGATATGAAGGAGATAAACCTAAGTCACCAACCTCTAATCCGGTCCCATTCCCTCCCATGAATGGAGGATATTTTGCATTTGTAAATCTGGGTGATCTTTACAGTTGTTAAGATAAATCCAGAAATGTACACTAAACTTCCCTAAACCTTAAGCATATCCATACCACAAGCTACTGTATATGGCTTTTTACTAAATGGTCATGACATGCTTGAGTCGCATGACTTACATTATGCACAAGCCAGGAGGTACCTGGTACCTAAACACAACATCCATTTTATGGATGACAAACCCATAAGCCTTAAAACAGGGACCTACATAAATAACTCCTATTTGCCACCGTAGTCATGCAAATATGACATTAAAAAGAAGTAAAAATATACTAGGCTTTGTCTGGCAAAACAGCGGTAAATGAAATTTCATTCAGAGTTCTTCAAAAGCAATGATCTCGTGGTCATATCTTCTCCAACCTATCCCTAGAGGGAGTTTTCAGCACTTCCTAGGTTACCAGATAGCTTTTTTGAGAAGAGTACAAACAAACAAAAATGCCTTGGAGATCTAGAGGAACTCGGATATGGCAATGTCGAGCAGAAAAAAGGAAAGCAAAAGATGGGGAAAAGGTGACATGAATATTTACAGTTTATACTTTGTGCAACAATGAAGCACCCCCCAGCTAAATGTGTTTTCACAGCATTAACAAGGTATTACAAGAAACATCCATTTTAAAGCATATAATTCATATATGGCAGATTCTCTGTCCTAGTGGTCTTGTTAGTAGTGTGTGTTAGTTTCATTTGATTTTATTCAGAAGGAATAGAAGTTTTTCAAATTTTTAAATTATTTATTTATCTTGCAGTATTTAGAGATGGCAGTAACCCAAATATGATTGGTCTTTGTGAAGTGTTTTGATTTTTTGACTTTTGTGGCTTTGTTTAATGAAAGTATATAGAAAAGGTATATACTGAAAATCCTCCTCCCCCCAACACCACAAACCAATATCCAAAATTAACTCAGTAACTGCTTCAGTGAAACTCCTAGTATGATGTATTAAACCCTACATGGGAGGGCTGTATTATTAGATTATAATGGCATACATTTAGAAAACAAATATTCAGTGGCTGTAGAAAACAAGCAGGTACTTCAGGAGTATTTTTATATTCCTCTTATCTGAAAAAGGCAGATGTTTACAAAGATAACATTCAAGATCAAAAGACTTGACCTAAAGATAATCCCTAACTTCACAGAGCCCTTTCTTTGGAGAAACTGGCATCACACTGTGTCGTCAGGCAGTGTTTGGCAGCTGCTGTGGTTATCACTGGCCTTTCTCAAAGACGAACCCAAAAGAAAGGACTTATTACTTCTGGGACAACACAGCGGAGCTAGGCTTTTATTTGAGGAGGAAATATCTGCGGAGAGGAATAAGTCTGCTGCTTATTC